TATTATAGGGTTCGAAGATATCTGTACACTATAGTATGTTTCCCCCGACGTATATATGAGGGGGAAAATGCTTCATATCCTATTTACAGAGTTCGTGAATAAGTAGCATAAATAGGCGACGACATCTGTAATATACGTACATAAAATTTTCTGAAATTTAACGATTATCGTTAAATTTTTGTTTTAGCAATCTACTGCGTCATCAAATCTACTAAATAAATTGATTGGTTACGTTTGGAAAATACTCGGGAATGTTTCCTGCATCGAGCGGCACAATCCATATAACTGAATTATACCGTCCGGACACACCAAGGGTTGTGAAACCATGGCATGAAGAAGTCTTCAAGGAATTGCGTTCTTATATAATTCTCGAATATGTGAAAGTGATCTACCCGGCGTTCCAGCCAGCAATAACGCGCGATCCGAAAAAAATTGAATCGCTGTTTAAGACTGTACGAGAAGAGGAACTAATAATGTTTGAGGATGCCAGTGATGAGGTATGGGCATTTTATGTTTTGAATTGTTGCTCTTCTCTCACCACAGTTCTTAAAAGCAACAGAAATTAGCAGTCGAAGTGAAAACAAGTGCGCATTGGTCTAACATTTAATTCAGGGATCTCAAATTTTGGCGTTGAAACGCAAAAAATTCAAGGGAAATAGTAACGCAATTGCACAGAAAAGCAAGAAACCATTAAATTCCGAAGACTTCAGATTGAAAGAATGAGCGGTTTTAGGAACTGTTAATTTTTACGCGTTTTTGCAAGCTGCATTTTCTGTTTCTCTTATCAAAAATACCATGGCTGGTTGGAATGTCAGTGTGGGTATGTCAGTGATGTTAGTTACGGGGACGCTCACACGTGTCGATCGCAGCTACGCCAGGTCTTTCGATTTGTTTAGAATAGCGAAGCAATGCATTTATTTGTTGCGACAGGTTATAAATCCCTCACGGATTTTTCGGAGTGGGCTCACCCAAGGTTATAATGCCCCTTGTACGCATTTTTGCTGCTACTGCGTGTGTGATGCAAGCAACCCTTTACGATCCGATCACTCGTTTCGAGGGGCTTTAGAAGAGGGAGCCACAATCTTGTTAGAGGGTGGTTGCTGTTGCTAAGTGTTATCATTCGCATTGTTTTCAAAAGCATCTGTTTTCCATGTGTGAATATAAGGGAAGGGCTTTTGAATGTAATCAGTGTCAGTATTGCTCCGCACAGCAGTTCATCGTTCCGGCAAAACTCTGTAAAAAATCCTAAATAACTTTGGATAAGTAAAAAGCGCTCTTCTGCCTTGCGTTAGCTTTTAAACCCAGGCTGGAGCGCACCGGGCGGGCCCGTGCGATCATGCTTTTTTGCACCACACTTGAAGTACTCAGGCCATTAATTATGTGAATGGTTGTTGCTCTATATCTTCCTTTTGAGGTCACTAGCATAAATCACCTTAGATTTTGCATAAATTAAATGTACAGTCTCTATTCATCCATCGTTTTTTATATGTAACCTAGTTGTTCAGTCAAAAATTCAGCCAAAATTTTAAGTGCCCATACGTAAGAAGACTGAATTTGAAATACTTAAGTTGTACT